AACTTTGCCGGTGGCTTTAGTATTTGCAGATTAAAAAAAGCCGAACTGAATATGTGTGAAGTGTTTGGTGAATCTCTGAAATATACCTTGGTTTATGTTGTCACTTTTACAATGTTAAATTATTCTTGCTTGAAGATTAAAATATCAAATTTATCATTATTGTAGGCAGGCAGAGCAGAAGAATTCCTACTGTCTTTTGATTTTTTGGTGGACTTTCCTAACTTTCCATGTCCTTGTTCAGTTTCAGGCCATGTCTTTACATATAGTTATGCTGTCAATACATATGCGTTGACTGAAATGTTTTTATGCCTGCCCTGTGGGTCTTTGTTTCTAGCAAACTGTGTCATATTTCCTTTCTAATAATTTCTTTTCTATGTGCAACTTAATGTGTTTTGATAGATAAAGGCGTAAGAAAGTGTGTTCCGTCGGTGGCCTAAGAGGTCATCAAGCCCTGTAGTGTTCAAAACCAGAAGACACACACTGGATTTTCTTATATTTTTTCAGTTAGTTGTATACCCTAGGAGAGTTATTTCATTCCCATTTCTGATCAGGTTATTGCACTGTCATTACCACAGACAATAGAATCTGAATGTGACTCATTGGTGAATACCTACCATTTTATGAAAGGAGGTTGTTTTTGATGACAACTTCAATGTGAGCTATCTTTGTATGCTTCGGGAGTTTGGGCCCTGTCCTTGTTTGAGTTAGCACACTAATCCCTGCTTCCAGATATCCTTTCATTCCTGTAACAAAGAGGTAATCCTCTGGTGTAACTCAGTATTCACTGTTCTGGTCTCAAGAGGAGAATTACGTTAAACAAAAAGCATTTCCTTGCTCCTCCCCTTGCTTCTGGGCAAAGAACAACATGGTTCACGTATAGGCAGTAGTTGAATCTTTTGTTGAAAAGATCATACATGCAGATGTGCACATAAGTGTCCTCTCTTTTTAAAGGCTGATACTGTTAAAATTGTTTCCCCATTTTAAAATTCTTGCCTTTTTTATCATTGTTGACAGTGCCAGATTGATGCTTATTTACACTGGGGTTCATTCACACAGTGTTTTGAGCCTTTTTATACCATCACATTGTTGCCAAGGGGAAACAAGCCTTCAAAAAAAATTTAAATTGTTTTTACAGATTAGTACTGGAGAGATCTCTCCCTGCAGTCAGTTTTTGCAGGTATAGAGGGCATGTCGGTGAGTGTAGACTGGTGACTGGAATGCAATGAAAATTTGGCACTGCTTGATTCTCAGAAGAGACCCCAAAGAGACACTTGTATGACCAGTGATGGATGGGCCACATGTGCTCTTCAGATGTGCTGGCCCCTCAAATTCTCTCTTGCCTCTGAATGCATCGCTATGTGTAGACTTGGGCCGTGCTGTAGTGCTGTCTGGAGCAGGAGGACATGGGTCTGCAGTCTAGCTGGGTCAGGTATGGACAAGTCCAGTCTACAGCAGATGGCCAAAGCTTTGCTCTTCCACAGGTGATTTTGGATGTTTTTAACCTAAGCTGTGGCCAGGCTAACCTCTACCGTTGTGAAAGCGCACAGAGGTCAGCGTGCTTATGCTCCGTTCTTAAACCATCTCTTGGCATCACAGGATAGACTGTGTGGTCTCACACACTTGGAAATAGCTCTCTAACCACATGTTATCTTGTGGAAATTTTGAATGTAGCTTGCATGGAGTTTTGTAGCTGAATACATCTAGGGGAGATGTGGGGTCAATGAGCAGTTAAGGGACTTCGGATTGGAGAAAATTCTACATAAAAAGCCAAGATAGGAGATAGTTCAACTTTTTAGAAAGGTAGTGGGAAGCATTTGAAGCATACAAGAAGAATCAGGACATTTGGGAAACTTGTCTTTCCTAGTAGAGACATTAATAACCATTGTAACAGTATTATTTACCTCCTGCTGCTTCACTGGAAAGAGTAAATTGTAAGTGTAATTTCAGAATGAACCAATTTTGTCAAAGCCAGACTTGATTCAAATCCCTAAGCAAATTACTGGGTTTGTTGTTAAAAAGCCCATGTCATAGAATAGGTGATTATTTTTATCCCATAGTTCTCAAAACAGAAAGGGAAAAAAGCTGCTCTTTCTTCATCTAAGGCAAGGTTGCAAGAAAGAGAGAAGTTAGGTTGGGGTTTTGTTGTTTTGTTGTTTTTTTAATGAAACACGTCTTCTAGATGTCATTTTATATGCCACACATAGAACAGAAGAGACTAATTTACTTTCACTGGCTCATGGAGGGCAGCTTTGTCATACAGCAGGACCCCTGTGATGCTTAACTTGCACTCTTTCCTGTCTTCTTTCATCACTTTGTGATGGTTACCGATTAGTTCTAATAAGGATGCACAGAGACTTCCACAAATTGCCAGGGGGAACTATTTCAGAGATTTCAGAGTAATACCTCTGATACTTAACCAGTTTGGAGGTGATCATCTGAAGCATGAGAGAATATTTCAGAGAGACCTAATGTCCAAGTGGGGGGGATTTCTGCATAAAAGAGAGGGAAGATGCAGTAACAGTCCAAGAGAAATGTCTTGGGTGGGAAGAGCAGCTGAACTATAGGAAAGGGATTTTTTTGCAAATGCTTCTCTGAAAATCCCAAAACAAAAATGAAAAATTGCCAGCTCTAATTCTGATTGGATTTTTCTGACCTTTTTCCTTTCTGAAATGCTTTGATTTGTACTTACATCCTTTACTGCTTTAGGCATTTTCATTGTCTTTTTAAAAGTGTCTATAAAATACAGATTTGTGAAACCAATTTGCAGCACCTAAAATCACCTCTTAACTGCTAGCCTCTCGTTTGCTTTCCTTGAAATAAAACTGCAATTTTTTCTGAAACAGAAACAAAAATATTATCTCTGGAAGCTATTCAAAAGACTGTGCCCCTTCTGGAAAGAAGAACTGCTAAGTGTTCATATGGCTTGATTTTTTAACGTACAATCTGTAAAATTTGGCTTATGAAAGTAATTTCTCCCGTGACAGGTGAGGAAAAAAGGAGAAAGCAGGAAGTTGTTTTCATTAATAAGATGAGTCAGAGTGTCTTAGCACCTAACTCACAGAACAAAGAGAGCTGGTCCAATATCTAGCAAAGAAAAGACTGATGCCACCAGAATCTCTGAACTCCAGGAAATATACATCAATAGGAGAGATTTGCTCCAGAAGCAGAGCGCACTTGACTATGTGAGGAGGAAGCCACTTGAGGGTGTTTATGGTTGTACAGTTCTTTGTACCGTCCAGAATTCCATCAGATGGTACAAAGTGACTGTACTGAGGGGAGGAAATGAGAGGCTGACTTGTGGTCTGCAAGAGAAAGTGTGGCCCTTAGGAAAATTTCTAGACAGTGAAATTAATGAAAAGGGAGCTTTTTTCGCTGGGTCAGTGTTAATGTTACGTAACATTGTCAAAATATTTCCTGAAATTTGCATCAGGAGGTATGTTTTTCAGCACAAGTGTCTTTGAGTTCTGTTTCAAGTGGTAATCTGATCAATCGATACTTCACTTTATCAGCACCTGTTGATTAGTCACTCCTGTTTCTTACATCATCCTGTGAAATAAAGGTAATTGTGGTGGTTTTGTGAAGAATAGAATTCAAGGCAGAGAGACATAAGACTCAAACTTATCCAACCAACCTGAAGTTCTCAGGTGAGAGGTGCCATTTCCCTATGTGTTTTCCCTGCCTCTGAAGACACCTCCTGAATCTCTTTAAGGCTCGTGCATGTAGATGCACAGAATTAAAAATATTAAATGGGATATAAATGAGTGCAAAAGCTTCACGGAGCACTTGCTTTGGTTAATTGCTTCATTGATTGTCGTTCATACAAGAAAGTACAAGATACAAGTCTCAGTACAAGAAAGACACTCAGCTGCTGGAGCGTGTCCAGAGAAGGGCAACGAAGCTGGTGAAGGGTCTGGAGTACAGGTCTTATGAGGAGCAGCTGAGGGAACTGGGATTGTTTAGTCTGGAGAAGAGGAGGCTGAGGGGAGACCTTATCACTCTCTACAACTACCTGAAAGGAGGTTGTAGTGAGGTGGGTGTTGGTCTGTTCTCCCAAGTAGCTACCGATAGGACAAGAGGAAATGGGCACAAGCTGCACCAGGGGAGGTTTAGATTGGATATTAGGAAAAATTTTTTCACAGAAAGAGTAGTCAAGCATTGGAACAGGCTGCCTAGAGAGGTGGTGGAGTCCCCATCACTGGAGGTGTTCAAAAAATGGGTAGATGTGGCACTTTGGGACATGGTTGAGTGGGCATGGTGGTGTTGGGTTGATGGTTGGACTGATGATCTTAGAGATTCTTTCCAACCTTAATGATTGCTAGTTTTTGCTTTCATTAAAAAATAATCCAGCCAGCAAGCCAGGAAACATGAAATTGTTACTCAACCCTTAATTGGTTTAGTGGTGGACTTGGTAATGTTAGGTTAATGGTTGGACTGGATGATCTTACAGGTCTTTTCCAACCTAAACGATTCTATTCTATTCTATTCTATTCTACACATTTTAGCAAGTACAGTGTGTGTAGATCATCTGTAATCATAATGTGTAAATCAAGGCAGGGTTTTTTGCTAGCTTGTGTTAGCTTGTTACTAGGAATTTGTATGTGTTAAACTTCAGTGTAGTTTTCAATGGCAAGGATTTTGTCTGAATGAATTTTTTGCACCTCTAAATCAAGAATGTCTTCATGAGGTCAGCACAGATTTTATCAGTGAAAATCTGGTGTGTCTGCTGGGACTGGGCTTCTTTTCAAGGTGGTTAATCATGGACTTAGTATCAGTCCCCAGGCAGTCACTGGAGAGACATCCACCAAGTTTGGTGGGCTTTAGTTCACCCCTGTAAGAACTCTGCAGCACTTTAAATGGAGAATGCTCCTGTCCTAAGTGACACTGGATGTATGAGGTAGAAAAAAGAATGTAAAAGAGTAAAGCAACACTCCTGAAACATGCTAGCTGTGAAAGGTGGATACCCTGAACTCTTTTGTGTCATGTTTTCTTTTGCTTAACAGCTTGTCCACCAGGAACATACAAGCCTGAAGGTTCACCAGGTGGAATCAGCACTTGCACCTCATGTCCTGATGAGAATCATACTTCTCCACCAGGAAGTACCACCATTGAGGATTGTACGTGCCGGGAGGGATATCGTGCTGTAGGACAAACCTGTGAAGGTAAGTGTTTCCATCCAGGAACAGAATACCCCTGGAATGCACAGTGCAGTGCTGGGACACTTTTGTTACTTGTGTTTGCACTGTGAAGGACATGTCAAATCGCATGCAAGATTTTCTGTGTCATTCCAAAACAGCAAAAGTACCAACATGCAAGTCGACTTGGAAATGAAAAAAATTGTTTTTCTTCAGTAGCCTATTGCACTCCAGCTAGCATCATAACTCTGTTGTGGTTGTTTAATTATTTAGTTGTTCACTGCCCTGAACTGAAGCCCCCTGAAAATGGTTACTTTGTCCAGAATGTCTGCAACAATTACTTTAATGCTGCCTGTGGGATCCGATGCAAAGCAGGATTTGATCTTGTGGGAAGCAGCATCCGGCTTTGTCAGCCAAATGGCCAATGGTCTGGATCAGAGGCTACTTGCAGAGGTATGGATGTCATGTGTTTGAAGAGTCTTTTTCTGTTGGATTAGTTTGTTCTTAACAGTGGTTTTCTCTGCTCACTGCATAGTTGGGTGTGCAGATCTGATCCTGTTAGCTCTTGGCTGGAAGAATGTTCTGAAGGTAAACTCCCACTCCGATCACTCCGTTTCCCTCCTTCCTAAAATGGAAGGAGGACTTCTACAATAGAAAATGCAGAGCAATATTTACTAGGCAGACAGTCTTTTGCAAGTGAATCTACACTCTCCTTCATTAAACCTCTCTCCACCTAATTTCTATTAATTTCGTATCTACATTATCTAAATCCAGTGAACCTATGAAGTAATCAAATGTATAAGACCTTGCCACATAGGTGTTTTAGAACATCCACCAGACTCCTGGCATAGATGGGCATTGGCGTTGGGAGACACTAACTATGGAAGAATTCCATTTTGCTTTCTTACAGTTCCTTCTTACAAAAAAGGGGAAAGCTTGGGCCTTGACCATTGTTCTCAGAAGAATTTTGAGTGGACTTTCACTAGGGCACAACTGGCGGTATTCTAGGAGTTCACTGTAAGAAAATGTCAGCTGGAAAAGAAATAAACAATGTGTGAAAGGGAGGAGACATGGGAAAGAGCATCCTGAAAACCAACATTTCTGGAGCTCTTACAAGTATATAGGAACACAGTTTTGCTTTGTTATCACTTGTCTCTGCCTGAGGTTGGGTTCTTGATGATTTAGAAGGGGAGCTGCATCCCCATGTAGTCCTGTCTGGTACGTCTTCCAGGGAGGGCCTGAAAAAACAGGTAGCAGCCCACATCTCCTCAACAGCCACAGGTTGTAGTTCAACATGTTTAACTTGAGCAGGATGCATGTGACATTAATATGCTGCACTAGAAGCTAGTAAATAAGAAGTCATCAGCTCCTTCTGTAACTCCTGC